GCAGGAATAGAGGCAGACCTTCAGATCAGGGCTCTGCTTGGGGTATTAGCAGCTCAGACAATGTTTGAATTGGAGGAAAGCACAGGATTAACTTTAAACTCAAAAGGGACAACTTGCTTGCTTAAAAGGCAAGCAGAAAAGGTAAGCACATGTTCAGTGCACATTTGAACTGAAGCCTCACTATGAGCTCCACAGAACAGGAAACCCACTTGTCTGAGCAGTATTTCTGAGGGTACCAGAGCCACACTAAATAGCTAAAGCAGTCAAGTTTGAAAGCGCTGTGTTTTGATTTTTGCCACATGGCTTCTATTAGAGTCAATTGGACTTCTGTAGCTAAATTACCATGGACTGCTTTGAAGAGCAAAACGTTTGAGAGGTCTCCGACAAAACGCATTCTGTAAACTAAGTTCATGTGATATTTCAGAGTATAGTTAGAAAAGTGATGCAGAACAAGTTGATAATTCCCCTGGTCCAGGTTCAGACTTCCTTTTTATTTGAAAGTAAGACAGATCACTATTGAAATTTAAATAGAGTGAAACTTCAGAAGAAAGGACATGAATGTTTTATTTATTACATCTTGTCCAAACTTGTTAGGAAAGGATGTTATGTGCTGTTAAACACCTGTTTTCTTTTTACCAGAAAGATGAAATTCCCTTAAGAAAGGAAATATATATAATCCACAGACAGATGCTAAGGGGAAGGAATCCCTTGGAACATCCCAAGTAAGTAAATGGACAGACTCGTTGCACATGTAATATAATATACAAATGCACAAAGTTATACAGCCAGTATATAAAAATGGCCACAACAAGAGAAGCTAGAAAGGCTAGGACTCTAATTTGGAAAAAAGGTGGCTAAGGGGAGATATGATAGAGGTCTATAAAATCATGAAGGCTGTGTATAAAGAGAACAGGGAACAGTTACTCGCCAAGTCTCAGAATACTAGAACCAGGGGCCGTCCACTGAAATTAGCACAAAACAGGTTTAAAAACCAAAGTGTTTTCTTCTGTTTTTTTAAATAGTGCATAGTTAATTTGTGGAACTCATTTCCACAGGAAGTTGTAGAGGTAGATATTGTAACCAGTTTCAAACAAGGACTAAAAAAATGCATGGAAGTTCAGTTCATTAATATCTATTAAAACAGTCAGATGCATCCTCTGATATCCCTAAATCAATGTTGATGGATGTCAGGGAGGGTTTGACAGGAGATGGAGCACTCCAGAGATGTCCTGTTCATATACTCTAGATCCCAAATATCTACTACTTGTCTGGTATTTCCAGGAGGGTCTGGGATCTATTGGCAGCATCCTAACACTAAATACCTTAGTCTTCTGATAGCCTTAGGATACATATAAGCATAACATTTTAGATTGACCAGCGTTAGGTCGATCTAACTGCCTGGTCATGTAGGCTTAAATTCCCTTTAAAAAAAAATGGCATACCTAATCAAAATAAGTTCTCCTGAGGAGCTGAACTAACTGTAGATTGATAATGGGTTATCCTGATCTATGAAGGATTAACACAATTTAGTGAATGCTTTCATGCATTCACAGCACAGCACAGGACTGGGAAAGCCTAGCCCCTCAGGCCCAGGCTGTGCTGTTCCTACCACCCAACCCTGTCTTTTTTGTTTTTTTACTGCCCCCTGCACGCACGCGCGCGCGCGCGCGCGCGCACACACACACACACACACACACACACACACACACCTCCCCCCAAGACTGGGCAACCTCTCCCTCAATGCACACTCTCCAGTTTTACCCCCTCCCATACCCCAGGACGACCATACCACTCACAGTTTAGTTTATGAACCAGGTCCAGCAAATTCTTGTTCACACCACATACACTTTAGTTTACTCTCAATAACTGGACCCGACTGGATGCATTAAAGTACTAACATACTACATGAGGTAAACTAAGTAACAGGAAAGTGAGAACAGCAGTATTTGGAATGTGAACCAAAGAGAGAAAACAGAACTACATCTTGTATAGTGATACTATTAGTTAACAATGTTCACAGTATGTTAGTTTATTATGAAGTGCTCTCATGCCTAAACATGTCAGTAGGCCTTTACATCCTTCTTTTAGAAGGCAGAGTAGAGTTGCACCTTACAGACTAACAATCAGAGATGTACAACATGAGCTGTTGTAAGTCCAAACTCATTTTATCTACTGAGTAGAGCTCAGGCTCATAAAACCTCATGCTATACATCTCTGATTTAGTTAGTCTACAAGGTGCAAATCTACCCTGCCTCTCTCTCTCTCTCTCTCTCTTTTTTTTTTTTTTTTTTTTTTTTAAAGACTACCTACCTCTTTCACCCTTCGTCTACACACACTTGAGTTAAGGTTGGAACTCTCAAAAGTGCTTAAGTGAAAGTCAGTGGAACTTATGCTCTTATATCTGTTTATATTATGGGCCATTGACTCCAATGGGAATGGGCTCCACTTTTTCAAGTTCTCCAAATGCCTGATTTGCAGCTAAATGAAGTTACTGTGATCTTTGCTGTTATCCTAAGGGGTAGGCAGTTACGGTGTAGTGCAGGGGAAATACTTATACATGGTTTTGCTTTTAAATAGTTTAACTGGAAAGTCCAGAGAGAAAGGACACAAAGGAGATGTACGAGTATTGTATACAAGGATTGGCTGATAGCTGCCTGACCACTTCATAAGAGATTTAACCCTACTGCACTCCTGAGTAGCCAGCAGATAAAGGAAACCCATTTTGACTTTATAACTCTGCTATTTACTGTTACACTGCAAACATTTTAATTGTACATATTTTCTTGTGTGCCTCCCACTAAATATTAATTCAGTACGGGCCTAGAGGCAGCCTAACTCTCAGCAAAAAATAATTAATATATTCAAAGTGTGTGTTTAAACAGGGAAATAAAAACATAGTTAATGGGTCACAAAAATATGTGGGGTACTGTGCTCTCTTTTTTTATACAATGATTTGTAATCCTTCTAGCAGATCATCCTTACCCTTTAAAAAAAGAAAGGAAAAATGTTGCATTACATAAATACAAAAGGAAACTATTAAGCAGACCTGGATAAACAATCAAATGCAGGAAACATAAGGAAAAACCTTCTGCTAATCTGAAAGCCAGTTAATATACAACGTATACACTTTGCATTTACAATGCATTGAGCTGACAATAAATTCCCCTCCACCTTGCCTGTGAGTCCTCTCAGTACACAGTGTACTTTCTGAAGTGTTACCTGTTAAAGCTGATATGGCAGTGGGAAGACTAAGCATCTTGGTAATCTTCACAAATGCATACCTTCTATTCATAGTCAGATGTGCCTTGCTGGAGTGGGGTTACATGCAATACTATAATACACCTACACGTTTTTACTCTCTGTTAACTGTTGAGTGAATTTGGTTCTTGTATAAAGTATCAAATTGCTCTGGAGATTAGGGTTCTTTGTTCATATTTTAGGAATAACCATACTTCTCAGTCATTTCCGGAAGCTTCGCATCTGTGGATGAGAAGGTGGATGAGTCTCCCTGACAATTCCATTCTTTACTGACACTGCTAACAAAGGATCTAATTAGTACCATCTGTGATAGTAGTTTTCATTATATACTTCCTTATGAATTTTTTTCTAGGACAATTTTCCTCTGCTGTAATACAGATTTGTATAACACACAGCAGTTAGTTATATACCACCACAGCTGTTTCACCCGCAGGAAACTAGCTAATTGTGCAGTATTTAATATGAACAAGCAGAAGAAAGAATATTGGATTAAACAAAGATACCATGAATTGTCATCTGTGAAACTTGGTTTCAGATTCTTCCCATACAAAAAACAGGAGGAAACTACAGGCACAAACTTATTGTGGAGGATCTCTTATTGGGCCAACTGTATAGTTGGGAGGAATATAAAAAAGCTTTCAGGTAGGTCCCTCAGGTCTCTTCAGAAAATTATGAGATTTTTATAAAAATGCTAAGCAACAACTTAATTTTGACGATAAAACTTTTAAAGAGAGCAATAAGCTTATCACATATAAAAACATTTTCCCAAATATTTTTTTTTAGTTCATAAAAATTTAACTTAATGAGGTTGCAATGAGAAAGCTATAGATCCCATACAGTCACCATCTGTTTCAAGTACTGGGAAAGTTATCATGATAACACTAGGTAGCAAATGACAGTAAGTGGTTACTTTAACAGCAATGTTTAATCTTTCATCACCTATCTCAGGTGGGGGAGGTTTTCAGCCTGTGGGTTAGAAATCAGCATTTCATTATGGGTGGGTGAGAGGGTGCCAAGATAGGAGATGATTCCTGCAACCCTCCTATCCCTTACAGTCACCACCCTGGCAGCATTGCCAGGCTGGAAATTTCAAAGAGCAAGAGCCAGGGCAGGCAGAGGAGTTCCTGGCACGGGCAAGACTACGGCCCTCTGCCACACTCTCTGAACCACAAGTTCTATCACAATGCATATGCCCAGCCCTGCCTCCCACTCTCAAAACCATGCACCCTTATCTCTTCTCACTCTTGAAACGATGCACTCTCTCCCCTCCATATACTCTATTCCCTGCCCCCCCCCTCCCCCCCACACACACTTGGAACCACATGCTCTGTCCTTCCCTGCTCTTGGAACCTGTGCCACACTCTCCCTGCCTCTCCATCTGCAGAGCTTGCCCTGGGCACTAACTTTACTTATTATGCCACTGTCAGAAGGGCAGAGCAGGTGGGAACACAGAATAGGTCCCTCCCCTGCCAGGATTTTCTCCCATGTGTTGGCCAGCTGGAGTGAGAAGACAAATGAATGGCTCTGTGCTCCGCCCCTTCAATAATTTCAACAGTTGGAGGCACAATTGCAAAGGTTTCAGGGTGAAAACAGATGTCTGACATCTCACTTATACCACCATAAAATTTTACAGTGGCACAAATTGTGAGCAAATGGACATCACTACTCTTCACCATGCCACATCAAAGGAAAAATCAGTGGCACAACAGAAGGTGATAATAGACTGCTGCTTTATTGTGGCAGACATCTATTCACTCTGTAAAGAGAAAACATGGGCAACCTGAGCTGCTTGCACTCTCCATCCAACCTGTGCAGGTGTTCTTGGGGCTTGAGGGCCCCTGAACCCCCAGAGTACCTCCCTGGGTTTCCCCACTTACAAAGAGGCACTCAAGGAGAATCTCAGGCCACCTATCAATAAGCAGGGAAGTCAAGGTTCCCCACTCAGGCAGACCCATTCCCCAAGATTGCAGGAGCAAGACTGGCTCACCCAAAGCCACCTCTGGAGATAACATTACCACTTATCTCATGTCATCAAGGATAGGACAAGAGGTGATGTGTTTCATCTAATGAAAAAGATTAACTGTGTCACACCACTTTGCAGCATAGCTGATCTGCTTCATTCAGCAATGTCTATTTCTAGCCTCACTGTTTTTGTCACTGCCTTCTCCCTCTCCCTGAAGTAGTACAAATAGAGACGTATTTTTAGGATACTAAGGTTTCTGACCAATTGTCTGGTTTGGAGATTTTCTTTTTCTTAAACTGCCAGAAGACTGGTGGTTCCAATTCATGTTTTCTCATTCTTTGTAGCATCTGACATGTCCAGGACTCAGTAGTTTATAGAAAGTTTTACTTTGTGACAACTTGCAGGAAGTTTCCAGCATGGATAAGAGACCAAGGGACAAGCTCCCAGAAGTAAGAGAGACCTGGGATTTCCCTGTGGAGTTTGTGCCTATGAGAAAGGGGAAAACTCAAGCATTTCATGCTGAGTCAAGTCATTCTTTTGGTACCTTCCGCACCCTCACGAGAGAGGGGGCAGTTCAAAGACTTGCGTAGAATCCTACAACATAGGTGGAGGAAAGTCTATCCCTAGTTAGGTGTTGTGCAGTCAGAGCTCTATAAAACCTCTGCAATGGACAGACTTAAAAAGTGTCTGGTACATTAACATTATAAACTTAAAACCCAATCCTATGTCTCTTTTCAGTCACCTGCACATCCAGATCAATCAAGCCACTTCTTGTCAGCCCCCAGGAAAAAAAAAAATAGGGCCCCATGCATTGAAATGTATTTTATGCTCTTGAAAGATGTTGTCTTGGCATCTTGGAAGGAGGAAGTTCTCTTTTTATGCACATAAAATATAAAGTGGTCAAAGAGAAGAAACATCTGCCAAAATTTCCTCCTATAGTTCTGAGACCAGAATTTCTACTTACCATAACTACAGGAAATCCCGGTGCTAACTGTGTGCTATTGGAGATTTAACAGTTTTTACACTACAAGTAGGAGCAGCGATATACACCACCAGGGGCAGATTCAGAATTTGGCAAAATGGGGAGTGGGAACAGCCACCTGGACTTCAGGGGTGGATGCACCCCTGCTCCCATCCTCTTCTCCCACAACATATCAATTTGGACCAAGCCATAGAAGCTTCTGGGGACTTTTCTAACACCGCCACAACAAATAAAAATCCCCTGCTTCTCCTCCATGCTCAAACGCATGTCTCTTCCCCTCCCCTTCTCCCACTCCCTGCCTGTTCCTCCTACTTTCCCTGCTGTCTTGGGAGATAGGGCAAGCTCCAAAGCCACTCCTGCCTGCTCCAGGTGATAGGCTTAGTGACAGGGGCAGTACGACGGTGAAGGTGGTTCCCCCACCCTACCCAGTCCCCTTAAAGCAGATGTGGGGCTTTAGTAGTCATCCCCCAGTCCATCACTAGTCCCTGCAGTTGAGCCCAGATCCCACACAGCCAGGCTGGAGCAGGTAGGAGTGGCTTTGAAGCTTCTCTGGCTACAGGGCAATGGGGAATGCAACAGCTATAGACACCAGGGTAGGGAAGGGGAGGGGAGGAGATGTGCCTTTAATCATAGAGGTGAAAGGGGTGGGGGGGGGTGGAAATGGAGATTCTTACCTGCTTTTGAGACTTTAAAAAGGCTCCCCTGGCATGGTCCAGTCCAAATGGGGGGTACAGCCACATCACTGCATCCTCTCTAGATCTGTCCCTGTACACTGCATGCCTCAACTGTTTTGAGAAGGGAATTCCTTTAAAGAGTAAGCAGTAACTCAATTGCCATTTCAATTCAGTCCTTAGCCTCTATTGCAAGGCTGCTAGCAAGAGTGCCAAATGCAATGGCAGACAAGGTTCTTTGGGTGACTCTGATATCTTTTATTAGACCAACTTAAATAGTTGGAAAGAAAAGTTAGCAAGCTTTAGGGTTTAAAAACCCTTCATCAGGTTGAGGAAGCCTCTGCAGTTGGCGTGTGCTCTTCCTGGATGGAATTTATAATCTTACCTACTAGGAAGTGGACTGAAGTGCCTAGCTCTTTTCATAAAAAGCCACTCTCTGTCACTCATAGGCAGGTTTTTTTTTGGACAGTCATTTGAATATAGGTCAAGTAAGTCTGCATCTCATTCCTATATCTCTATCAATGAAAACTGTTCTTGGACTTACTTAAAATTATTTAAGTCCCTCTGCTGCTACTATCCCATTCAGTTCTGCAACCCTAACACACACAGGATAGTATTCACATAAAACTTGACGCTTAGTGAAGTTAGTATAAGTTTAAAGTCAATGGGACTGTTTTAGTATTACTAACTTAACTTAGTAATGGCATAAGCTCTTTTTAAGAAAAGAGGCCCCCCAAAAATAGATATCTTGGTATAGTAACGCGCTCTTATATTAGAAAGTTTTCTAATACTAAGCTTTTGGAGTGGCAGAACCTTTGCCTGTTATGCATGTTCATGGACACCAACTCTGCTATATTTTGCTAGTTTTTTGCCCATCTTTAAAAGGATATACTAAACAAGAGAGAATATGCTGTAGTTCTTCTAGAAATTCCTTTCATAATCAGGTTTAGAAAATTAACCTTCCTATGTTGCCCATGTGTATGTACCATTATCGTAAACAGGGAAATAGCCCCCTTGCTATTATTTTTCTGTCCCATGTAC